TTTTTTTTAACTTTTAAGTTCAGGGATGCAAATCTAGGTTTGTTACATAGGTAAACTTGTATCATGGGGGTTTATTGTACAGATAATTTCATCACCCAGATAATTATTAAGCCTAGTACCCATTAGTTGTTTTTTGTAACCCTTTCACCCTCCGAAAGTCCCCAGTGTGTATTATTCCACTCTATGTGTTCATGTATTCTCATTGTTTAGCTCCCACTTATAAGTGAGAACATGTAGTATTTGGTTTTCTGTACGTGTGTTAGTTTGCTAAGGATAATGGCCTCCAGCTCCATCCATATCCCTGCAAAGGACATAGAAATTATTCTTTTCCATGCAAAGAACCCCGTATTTTTGTATTTTAATATAGAAATGATTTCTTAAATTCAACTTAATTGGAAAGCCATTATTTAGGCCGGGCACAGTGGCTCATGCCTCTAATCCCAGCACTTCAAGAGGCTGAGGCTAGTGGATCACGAGGTCAAGAGATGGAGACCATCCTGGCCAACATGGTGAAACCCCATCTCAACTAAAATATAAAAATTAGCTGGGTGTGGTGGCACACGCCTGTAGTCCCAGCTTATTTGGGAGGCTGAGGCAGGGGAATCACTTGAACCCAGGAGTAGAGGTTGCAGTGAGCTGAGATCATACCACTATATTCCATCCTGGCAACAGAGCAAGACTACATCTCAAAAAAAAAAAAAGCTATTATTTAAGATCCTGCAGATGTCTTGGTGAAACACATTTGACTTATGGGATATATAATAATTCATTATTATAAACTGTTTTTTTCCCTGTAAGGCTTCCAGACAAGCTGCAGGAATTCCAGGGATTACTCCAACTGAAGAAAAGTGAGTAATTATTTTCTTAGAATCAAGTAGAGTCAATTCTTCATTATTGATATCAAGACTAAACCATGTTTTTAGCTAATCTCAGTAGCTCTTGCCAGCTACTGATGAGGTTGAGGTGGAGGATCACTTGAGGCCAGGAGTTTAATGCTGCAGTGAGCTATGATTATGCCACTGTACTCCAGCCTAGACAACAGAGCCAGACCCTGTTTCTAAAATTAAATAAATAAATAAATAGAAAACTAAGGTTTTTTTGTGGTAGGACTGGGCAGACAGATGGAATAGAATAGGTAGTTCAGAAGACAAACCAAATATATATGATAAACCATATTTTTAGTTTACTCGTCTTATCCAATTCCTTTGATTGCCCTAAATTTACCTTGGCACTTAACCTAAACTTTGTTAAGAACAGAAAAGAGGGTTGTGTAAATCAAAATATTTCATTGTTTTCACTTCCCCTTGCCAGAGAAAGAAGATTGCCATAGCTGATCTGATGATTTTCATCAGCTGATGATGTCCATTGTTATCTCAGAGTTAGGTGCTGGGTAGTTAAGTTGGATAGCTTTCTGGTATCTAAGTCAGATGTTCCTGTGGAGCTTTTTTATTTGGTATAAAGCGTTAAGAATTCTTAAAATAGCAGACAAATCCATATTCAAATATAACTATAGAAACATAGTAAGAAAGCAAATATAATTGAGTTTTGGATTTTGCAGTAATTTGAATTTCATGAACCTTTGTTCTCATTTATTGACACAGTTAATTCAGAGTCAGCTATTGTTTTTCTGATTTTTCCAAGCTAAACTAATTATTTTATCAAATATTGCTCTTTTGTCAGAGATGGCAATCTTCCAGATATTGTGAATAGTGGAAGTTTGCACGAGTTCCTGGTTAATTTGCATGAGAGATACGGGCCTGTGGTCTCCTTCTGGTTTGGCGGGCGCCTTGTGGTTAGTTTGGGCACTGTTGATGTACTGAAGCAACATATCAACCCCAGTAAGACATGTAAGTTTACTTTTCTTTCTAATTACCTGATCCTTACCTTTTAAGAATGCATATTTAGGCCAGGCATGGTGGCTCATGCCTGTAATCCCAGCACTTTGGCAGGCTGAGGCAGGTGGATCACTTGAGGCCAAGAGTTTGAGACCAGGCTGACCAGTATGGCAAAACCCCATCTCTACTAAAAATATAAAAACTAGCCGGGCGTGGTGGCACATGCCTGTAATCCCAGCTACTCAGAAGGCTGAGGCATGAGAATCTCTTGAACCCGGGAGGCAGAGGCTTCAGTGAGCCAAGATTGTGCCATTGTACTCCAGCCTAGGCAACAGAGCAAGACTTTTCTCAAAAAAGAAAGTTAAATTAAATTTAAAAGAATAAATGTTTATAAATGTATATAAACCTTGTTCTTGGATAGCAATAGTCAACATTTATTGATTGCTTTGTACTATGTGCTAGGCACTGTGCTGCAGTTTTATTACCTCATTTAAGATAGTATTTTAAATAATTGTGTTTTTCCTTAATATATAAGTGTTTATGATAAAATCTCAGCGTAAATTCCAACAGGATTTTTTTGGGAGCCTGAAAAGATGGTTCCAAGGTATATCTGGAAGAGTAAATGTACATGATCACCCAGGAAATAATCTTAGAAAGAATATTAAATCTCTACTAAAAATACGAAAATTAGCAGAGCATGGTGGTGCACGCCTATAGTCTTAGCTACTCGGGAGGCTAAGGCAGAATAATAGCTTGAACCCAGGAGGTGGAGGTGGCAGTGAGCTGAGATCACACCACTGCACTCCAGCCTAGGCAACAGAGTGAGGAGATTCTTTTTTTTTTTTTTTTTTTTTTTTTTTTTTTTTTTTTTTTTTTGAGACGGAGTTTCGCTCTTGTTACCCAGGCTGGAGTGCAATGGCGCGATCTCGGCTCACCGCAATCTTTTTTTTTTTTTTTTTTTTTGAGACGGAGTTTCGCTCTTGTTACCCAGGCTGGAGTGCAATGGCGCGATCTCGGCTCACCGCAACCTCCGCCTCCTGGGTTCAGGCAATTCTCCTGCCTCAGCCTCCCGAGTAGCTGGGATTACAGGCACGCACCACCATGCCCAGCTAATTTTTTGTATTTTTAGTAGAGACGGGGTTTCACCATGTTGACCAGGATGGTCTCGATCTCTTGACCTTGTGATCCACCCGCCTCGGCCTCCCAAAGTGCTGGGATTACAGGCTTGAGCCACCGCGCCCGGCCGGGGAGATTCTATCTCAAAAAAAAAAAAAAGAATATTAATGAGGGAAATACTTGTATTATCAGTTATTATAGTGTATTATAAAGCTAGATTAATTTAAAGAATCTCATAGTAGCCAGGCACAGTGGCTCACACCTGTAATCCCAACACTTTGGGAGGCCTAGATGGGAGGATCACTTGAGCCCAGGAGTTCAACATCAGTCTGGGCAACATAGTGAGAGCTCATCTCTGCAAAAAAATACAAAAATTAGCCAGATGTGATGCATGTGTCTGTAATCACACCTGTAATCACAGCTACTTGGGAGGCTGAGGCAAGAGAATCTCTTGAACCCAGGAGGCAGAGGTTGCAGTGAGCTAAGATCGAGCCACTGTACTCCAGCCTGGGTGACAGAGAGAGATTCCATCTCAAAAAAAAAACAGCTCATACTGTGGTAGGGCTAGACAAACAGATGTGATCGAGTAGATAGTTCAGAAGACAAACCAAGTGTATGTGATAAAGATAGCATTTTATGACAAAAGAGAAAAGTAATAAATGGTTTTGGGAATATTGGTTAGATTTGGAAAAAATAAATCTCAATCCCTGCCTTATTTGTTATTTGTTTCTCCCTCTTTTGCCCAGGCTAGAGTGCAGTGGTACTATCATAGCTCACTGTATAACCTACAACTCCTGGGCTCAAGTGATCCTCCCACCTCAGCCTTTGAGTAGGTGGGACTATAGGCATGCACCCCCATACCTGGCTAATTTTTTTTTTCCTCTTTAGTGGAGATGAGGTCTCACCATGTTGCCCAGAGTGGCCTCCAACTCCTAGACTCAAGCAATTCTCCTACTTTTGCCCCGCAAAATACTGGGATTACAGGTGTGAGCCATTGCACCTGGCGTCTGCCTTATTCCTTATATCTAAATAAATTCTAGATGATTAAAATATCAGGTCATAAAGGTAATACAAGAAAACTTGGTTAAATATTAAATTTTTTCTCTTTGGTTGGGGAGAATGTAGATAAACCTTTTCTTAACAATGGTATAAGATCTAGGAGCTATAAAATACAAGTTAGATAAACCTATCTACATAAAAATGAAAAATTTTATTACAATAACAAACACCTTGAATGGATGCAGTAGCACATACCTGTAGTCTCAGCTACTCAGGAAGCTGAGGTGGAAGGATCACTTAACTCAAGAGTTGAAGACTAGTCTGGGAGAAACATAGAAACTCTGTCTGTGATTTAAAAAACAAAGTCAAAATCACCTTGAGAAAGGAAGAAAGAGATGAGAAAATGTTGACCGCACATTGTTACACCTGATGTATAGTAATCGATTACCATATTTTTGTTAAATAAAAAGGTACCATGACAAAGTTTAAAAGAGAAATGGAAAAGCAATTTACCATCAATATGTTAAATATATATAGTACATAAAAACTAATAAGAAAAAATAGGCCAGGTGTGGTGGCTCACGCCTGTAATCCTAGTACTTTGGGAGGCTGAGGTGGGTGGATCACCTGAGGTCAGGAGTTCGAGACCAGCCTGGCCAACATAATAAAACCCCCTCTCTACTAAAAATACAAAAATTAGCTGAGCAGGGTGGCAGGTGCCTATAATCCCAGCTACTTGGGAGGCTGAGTCAGGAGAATCACTTGAATGCAGGAGGCAGAGTTTGCAATGAGCCCAGATCACAACACTACACTCTAGCCTGGGTGAGAAGAGCAAAACTCTGTTTCAAAAAAAAATTTTTTAAATATGAAAAATTAAAACAGTTAAGGGAATTATGAAAAACAATTGCCATGCTTTCAACTATGATCCTTTACCTCCCTAATCACTTGTTCTGTTACAGGAAATCTTTTTGAGTGATTATTTTGATACAGAAATATTTAATTTGTTTCAGTGGACCCTTTTGAAACCATACTGAAGTCATTATTAAGGTATCAATCTGGTGGTGGCAGCGTGAGTGAAAATCATATGAGGAAAAATTTGTATGAAAATGGTGTGACTAATTCTCTGAAGAGTAACTTTGCTCTCCTCCTAAAGGTAAGGTAATAAGTAGTTTGGTATAGTGTTCTACAACATAAATAATAGTGTATATATATATATATATATTTTTTTTTTTTTTTTAGTATTGGTGTGTCCTGTTTTTGCTACTCTTTTCTTTCCTGTCTCTCTAAGCTAATTTTATTCTCCTGAAATTAAAAACAACAATAACAAAACACACATACCCAAAAAAGAAAAGGAAACAAAAATCTTGACATCTAGACTCACTGTATAAGTTGAAATGATGAGAGTAGAGAGTACCTTAAGGAAGTTTTCTTTATATATATATATATATGTATGTGTGTATATATATATATGTGTGAGTGTGTTTGTGTGTGTGTGTATTTATTTTATTTTTTTCTGAGACAGAGTCTTGCTCTGTTGCCCAGGCTGGAGTACAGTGGTGTGATCTCGGCTCACTGCAACCTCCACCTCCCAGGTTCAAGCAATTCTTGTGCCTCAGCCTCCCTAGTAGCTGGGGTTATAGGCGCACACCGCTATGCCTGGCTAATATTTGTATTTTAGTAGAGACGGGGGTTTCGCCATGTTGGCCAAGGTGTTCTCGAACTTCTAACCTCAAGTGATCCACCCACCTTAGCCCCCCAAAGTACTAGAATTACAGGTGTGAGCCACTCTGTCCGGCCATCTGTATATATATTTTTTGAGATAGGATCTCACTTTGTCACGCAGGCTAGAGGGCAGTGCATGGATTATGGCTCACTACAGTCAGTCTGGACTCTTAAGCTAGCATTTCCCAAAACATATTCTGAGCCTGTCTGAAAAAGTTCCTCTTATAAAAATGCATATTATTGGCCAGGTGTGGTGACTCACACCTGTAATCCCAGCACTATGGGAGGCCAAGGCGGGTGGATTGCCTAAGCTCAGGAATTTGCAACCAGCCTGGGCAACACAGTGAAACCCATCTCTACTAAAATACAAAAAATTAGCCATGTGTGGCGGTGTGCACCTGTAGTCCCAGCTACTCAGGAGGCAGAGACAGGAGTATCACTTGAACCCAGGAGGCAGAGGTTGCAGTAAGCCAAGATTGCGCCACTGCACTCCAGCCTGGGTGACAGAGCAAAACTGTCTAAAAAGAAAGAAAAAAAATACAGATTATTGGGCCTCTACTTTGACATACTAAATCACTTGGAGAGGGACCTGACTTTTTTTTTTTTTGAGACTGTGTCTAACTCTTGTTGCCCAGGCTGGAGTGCAGTATCACGATCTTGCCTCACTGCAACCTTTGCCTCCCAGGTTCAAGCGATTCTCCTGCCTCAGCCTCCCGAGTAGCTGGGATTACAGGCACGCGCTACTATGCCTGGCTAATTTTTCTATTTTAGTAGAGACAGGGTTTCACCAAGGTGGCCAGGCTAGTCTCGAACTCCTGACCTCAGGTGATCCACCTGCCTCGGCCTCCCAAGTTGCTCGGAGTATAGGCGTGAACCACTGTGCCTGGTCAAGACCTGACATTTTTAAGAGATTCTACAGATGATTGCAAATTTTTTGAACAACAATACTAATCCATATCATTTCCTTTTTTGTCCCTAAAGATTCTTAGCTGAGCCCTGTGTCCTCCTGACAGTTCTCTGAATCCCCATGGCATTATTCCAGACCTTCAGCCTCACTGTAATATTGCTAGTCATACCCAACCCCTTTGCTTGCTACAGATGTCCTTTCCTCCTGCTTTGCTGAGATTATAGAGTCCCTTCCATGTGAACTCCATCACTCTCCTATTCCCCCACTAACAAACTCTATCCATCCCAGTCCTTTGTTTTTTCTCCTGATTTTAAATCTTAAAGAATCCTTCCTTCTGGGCAAATCTAATTCATTTATTTAAAATTAGTGTAATTTATGAAAGTAATAAATATGGTTGCTGTAGAAAATAGCAAGATCTAACAGTTTAAGGAAATCACCCCTGATTTTACTATAGAAATATATATTGTTATTATACAGTATGTACAGTTTTATATACTTTTTTTTACTTTAAAACATATGGATGGCCAGGCGCAATGGCTCATGCCTGTATTTCCAGCACTTTGGGAGGCCGAGATAGGCAGATCAAGAGGTCAAAAGATCAAGACCATCCCAGCCAACATGGTGAAACCCCATCTCTACTAAAATAGAAAAATTAGCCAGGCATTGTGGTGCATGCCTATAATCCCAGCTACTCAGGAGGCTGAGGCAGGAGAGGCCTCACTTGTTTTCTTTTAATTCTTCAGATGTACCCTGTTCCCTCCTGTCTCAGGGCCTTTCTATGCTATTTCTGTTTCCTGGAATGCACCTCTAGTCATCCACACACCTAGCTAATGTGTGCTCATTTTTCAGCTCCTAGTTTAAACATCACTTCCCCAGGGAAGCTATCGCTGATCATCCCACATTGCTAGATAGGTCCCTCTTTTATTTATTTAATTTTTATTTTTTAAGACAGAGTGTTGCTGTGTTGCCTAGGCTGGAGTGCAGTGACTTGATCATAGCTCAATGTAGCCTCAAATTCCTGGGCTCATGGGATCCTCCCACGTCAGCCTCCTAAGTAGCTGGGACTACAGGGATGTGCCACTGTATCTAGCTAGTTGTTTTTTAAAATTTTTTGTAAAGGTGTGTGTCTCATTAAGTTTCCTAGGCTGGTCTTGAACTCATGGCCTCAAGTGTTCCTCCCACCTTAGTTTCCCAAAGTTCTGGGATTGCAAGCATGAGCCACTGCACTCACCCAGGTTCCCCTTTTAGATGCTATCATAACACCCTGTGCCTTTTCTTTACAACACTTTTCCCACTTTGTAATTCAATTTATTTATTTATTTACTTATTTATTTGAGATGGAGTATTGCTCTGTTGCCCAGGCTGGAGTGCAGTGGTGCAGTCTTGGCTCACTGCAACCTCCACTTCCTGGATTCAAGTGATTCTCCTTCCTCAACCTCCCAAGTAGCTGGGATTACAGGTGCACACCACCACTCCCAGCTAATGTTTGTATTTTTAGTAGAGACAGGGTTTCACCATGTTAGCCGGTTTCACCATGTCACCCACCTCAGCCCCCAAAGTGCTGGGATTACAAGTGTGAGCCACTGGGCCCGGTCGTAACTCTATTTGTAATCCCTTAAGTGTCTGTCTCCCTCACTTAAGTGTGTGCTCCATGAAGGTAGGGACTAGTCTATTTTGATTACTGCTGTGTACTTGGCTGTTGTTATAGAGCAGGCCCCCAGTCAATATTTATTAAATCAGTGAATGAATACTTATAAGTTAAAGTTCCTGAATTCTTTGACCCCTCTCTTACTTCCATAGTTCTATTCTTTCTTTTTTCTCCCCGAAACATTTTTGCCAGCCCTGCCTGGCTAACTTCTACTCCAGTCTCCAATTTAGTTAAGTATGCTTTCCTCTATGTACCATTTCTAAACTGCTGTTAACAACTGGATATATTTACATAAAATTAAGAGAATTTTTTTTCTTTTCTTCTTTTTT